TGGTGGCAGCATCCTGCATGGTCTACGGGTAGGACAGCGGCTTTATAACTCCTACGACAACAAAACACCATCCGAAAACTTAACAACCACTTGCTTCGAGCTCGAGGTGAGATATGCTGGTACATTAGGTACATACATAATAATAATAATAGCTAAAACTTAAAATCTACGGTCAATGGAATACCAGTCAGAGTTCTTAAATTTGAAAGCCCGGAGTTGTCAAGCCGACAGGTACTCGTATTGTTATGTTAATAACCAAACAGTTGGAATAACTTTAGCCTCCTAAATAGCTAGATGTCTATTCTCAATTGTATTGACACTAGATTTTTCGTCTTCACTTATTTCATTATTCCGACAATTGATGGCATGCCCTTTCCTGCTTCCTATTTGTAATTTTATAGTGTTCCCGTATATCTTAAATCTTTTAACCTGTTGGGAATAATTTTGCTATTTACAAGTACTTTATCATTTTAATTTTCTTAGAGTTTATTTCTTATGCTCTTAAATAAAACTCCACACCTGTATTTTGTACATTGCATTTTTTAACAAAGTGTAAAGTGTCATTGTCGGCTTACAATTTTTGAGAATATTTAAAAATTATTTTTATTTAGAAAAATTTTATCCACTTTAAAAAAAAATTAATTTAAATCACCAGATATATTATTGAACTAAAAAAGGATCATTTTGCGGAATTTAATCAAGTTTTATTTAATTTAAATAAATTTTAGTTGAATTTTTATGCTTGATTCAAAATTACCAAATTTTTCAAAATAATTTTTTTTAGTTCAAGAATTTTTCTCTTTTACTAAATATTAATTTTTTTTTTTCAGTGCAGAATTTTATTTAATATTATTTATAATTTATTTTTTAATTTTTTGATTAAAAAAATAAAAACTGGCATGATTTAAAAATGAGTTAGAATTTAGAACAAAGTTCAATTCCGTGAAATTTTTCAATAAGTATATTGTAAGCAAATTGTAATTATTTCCTCTAAAAATTGAAGTATAAAAATTAACATGCAAGAAATAATTTATTTGATAAAGTCAATCCTAATTAATTAATAAATAATAATTCAAATGAATAAAATTTGCCGCTTAAAGTAGATGTCGCTAAGGTTAAGTATTTTATTTATTTTTGTTTTAAAACAATGAGACGTAGACAAATTGGATTGCGTGTTGGAAACAAGTTGGCACAGCTATCGCCAAACAGTCGTGAGACTTGGACAAATGTTACTCGATTGCCTTTCTCTCCTATCCCTTATACACCGGAGGGAAGCGCTGTGGTGTAGAGTAGGATGTAGGATGATACTCGGTACCACCCTTGGAGGCTTTCACCCCTTGAAAATTTTCTTTTTGTGCATTCGCCGCTTAGCTCTTCTTTGCCTAACTCATATTATACCAACTATCTACCCATTACTCTCTCTTATATCATTGTTACTCACTTAAATATAGTTTATTGCCCTACAGCAGTTCACCAGATAATAATAATAACAATAATAAAAATAAAATAGAACAAAAAAATGTCTTTGAGACCTTAAACTCGATTCTAACTGGATTAGATCCCGTGTTTTTATTTCTTAAGCGTGATCTCGCTACTCGATTTGTTGCCTTTGCGTGTCGATGACATTTTGTCACTACTATTATGCAACTTTTCGTGGAACTTCACTAAATATTTATGTAATAGATACTTATTTTCAAATATGTACTCTAATAAAAAAAAAAAAAAAAAAAAAAAATGGTGTATTCAATTTTTATTTCTTCCTTTAAAATTCTCGGTCCCCTTTTATATAAAAAAAAAAAAAAAAAAAAAAATAAAAAAAAAAAAAAATGGTGTATTCAATTTTTTATTTCTTCCTTTAAAATTCTCGGTCCCCTTTTATATAAAAAAAAAAAAAAAAAAAAAAAAAAAAAATGTTGCGGTAATTAATTACAAAGTTCAAGGGGTGGCCATCTTTAGTGAATCAAAGCAAAGGTCAAGTTAAGATCCATGATCCATGAGTTCTTATCCATGGATGTGGATGATGAGTACGAGGATGAGAAAAACGACACTAAAGTATGCCGGATTACAATGGGACCCTTGTACGCATTTTTTGACTTATAGAGACCAAGGGTATATAAGTTTATATATGTATTTTGTGTGTATGTGTAAGAAGAAGAGGAAGCTAGTTGAGGCAGTTGACAATAGAAATACCGAGAGAACCGGAAACTACCACGGGAAATTTTTTCACCTTGTATAAATCTATACACACGTATACACCGATGAGACATTTTATATTGATGAGATGCTGAAAATAGGCGGTGTCACAAAAAAATGGCTACTAGGTTTTATTTTTTTATTACACCGAAAATTATTTATTTGTTAAATCATTTTGAGAAAGTTTTTTTAAGTGGAGATACTTCGATTTTTTATAATAATTTATTTTTATTATTGAGGTGTTTAAAATTATTTATTGCAATGATTGAATTAAAAGGAAATTGTAGTAAAATTATTACTAGAAGATAATTTTGTTATATTTTATAATAAAAATTTTTTTTTTGAAAATAGTTTTTCAAACATAGTTAACTTTTTTTTGTGATTTTGATGTTTTACTTAATTTGTTAGTTTTGTTATGTTTTAAGAGCCTTCTTAAAAATTAATGAGATAAAAAATTTATGAGGGGTTGCTCAAGAGTATTTAAACTTTTGAAATATTTTTGAATTAATTCTTAACGTCAATATTAAAAATTTCTTATTATTTTTCATCGTTGATATACTGAAGACTGAAAGTCAAAAGAATAGTTATGACTATACTATATTTTAATAAGCAAATTATCTTCTAGAAGTTGAAAAAATCTTGAGCAAATTCTAGAACTCAAAATTTTTAATTAAGAAATTGAGAGAAGAAACCTGGAAAATTACAAGATTAACCGAAAAAATTGAAAGAAAAATCAATTTTTGACGACTTTTAAAGTTTTTAATAATCTTGAGCGACTTAGAAAATTTTTTTCTCTGAAAATATTTTTACTTCAAATTTAAGTGGCCGAAAACGGCACTAAGATGGCCAAAACCTATACTTCTACCCTAGGAGAGTAAAAAAAATAGTCGGTTGTTTTTTGCGCCACTGATTTTTTAATTAAATTTAAAAGAATCACACAATTGACTCTTTTTTATTAAAAAAAATTAATGTCTGAAATTTATAAATACATGTAATACTTCAATACTTTTTAAGTTTGCCGTAATAAATATAACGTTACAATAAATGTCAAAACTCATTTATTAAATCATATCTTATGGCAGATAAAACTTTTTTCATTAAGAGATAAAATGAAATTAATCTTTTAACTTCGTGAAAAAAAAAGATTGAAATTGATGTTTTTCACTAATTTATCTAATGTATAGGTATAATGTATAACTATCTATCATAAAAACTTTTACGGAGCCAATTTTCTTCAAATCTCTTCATAAAATTAAAAATTTCCAATATTTACTTTTTGTAAATCTAAATTTATACTCAAAATTTGTAATTCGTATCAAATATATTTTTCAAGTATTTAATGACATTAATTTGACGTCAAAAAATGGCTGACTGAATTTTTAAGCTTCCCTTAGTTAAACCTTAGAACTCAATCTCTACAATTTTCTATTTCAAGCGTCTTCTACTATAGGATTTTACTAATTTTATTTAAAAATTGTTATAAGAATAATTTTTAAAATTTTATTAAAATCAATAAAAATTTAAGTCATATAAACTCCATCAAAATCAAAACTTTCTTCTTTTAATTTCATGTCGTAAAAGTTCAAAATTTTTTTAAATTCAAAATTCTACGCACCCCTTTAAAAAAAATATTTATTTTCTTAACCAACATAATAAAATTTTTTAAGCTCGGCTGCCCAATTTTAAAACACAGTAACTGACAATTTTAAGATTTTTAAAAATTTTTCTTATTAAAAAAAAGTTTGCGCGCCAAATTGATAAAAAATTTGATTTATGAATAGAAAACACTTGAATATAAATATTTTTAAGAAAAATTACTTGAAATTAAGGTCTAAGAAATGCAACAATACTGAAAAACATCAGATATAAAAATTTTGCAGTTACTGTGTTTTAAAATTGGGCATCCGGGCAGCACTATATGATACAAAAAAAAATTTTCTTTAAATAAATGACTTTTAAATTTGAGTTTTGTACAAACTTTACCATATATTAGGCAATCGATAAGTCTAGCGACCTTCACCAGGTTCATAAAAGAAGTAACGACTATCGCCGTGATATGATGTTAATGTTACAAGGCACATTAACACTGACGCATTAAAGTGTAGTGTTAAAATAAGTAGACAACTGGTAAAAGACGTGTGATCGATGATAAACCTGGATTGGATAAGACTCAAAAGTACTGTCTGTATATAACACATACATAAACTTTTATCCATGATATATGATATATATAAAAATTACAACCCTCAGTGCCGCGCCCCGCACTATTTCGAAGAGCAGACTCCTCCCAGCGGTAAATTTACCACGAGAAGATACTCTCGAGCAAAACGGTTCAAGCATTGTCACGGGGTGGCAACGAATGTAAATTACCGGTCTTTCCCGGCGCTCGTTATGGTAGGGGTTGGGAAAACCCGCCCCTAACCAAGACACGCCTCCATGGAAACTGTCGAGGACACTCAAGGATCAAAGTGCGTTTCAACAGCAACTTCACTAGCCGTCAAGTGTTCGTTGAGGATGCTCGAAATATTATTGTTGTAACACTACTTTTCAAGTCCTCGCTTTTCAATTCCGCACGAAAAATAACACTCGGGAAAAATCGTAGAGCTTGTAACAGTGAAAACTAAACATACACTGTTTATTCTAAATTCATCCACAAATATTTTTGTATGTGCTGTGAAGTGATAGTTTGATCAGTGGTACAAGGACAGTGATTTTTTTTATTAAACAGTGTCAGAAATATTAGATTTTTTTGAGACACACTGGTGTAGTTAAAAAATTAGTAGACTGTTTATTAGAAATTTTTAAGAATGAGTGATAAAAATAAAATATTACCCTGGCATTTATTGCCCTACCAGGCAAACATTCTTAACCATTGGTACAACCAGATAGCTTTAAACTCAAGGTAAAAATTCATTTTTTAAAACATCAAAATCCTGCAATACAAAAATTTAAAGTTTATATTAAAAAAAATTGAAAACATTATTTCCAAATTTTTTTTTTTTTTTTTTTATTGGAAGATAAAAATTACAGTGAGATGGCGTTTGGGTATTCCCAATGCTGCCACATATGCCAAATTTATCTTGGAGAAGAACCATCAGAGCCATCTGTTGCACAAAAAAGTCAGACTCAAGTTCTGATATTTCCTACACTGAAAAAAAAAAATTGATTTGATTCAAGAAAAAACTCTTGAACCATGAAAATTATTTTACAAAGTTTTGTCATTTATAGTTAAAACGACAAATTCTTAAATCAAGAAAAATTTCTTTATTCAAAAACTTATTTTGAGACAATGAAACTCTTCAAAATGATTTTTTTCAAAAGTTTTTTTCTTTAATCAAGATAATACTTTTATCAATTTTCTATTTAAGATTTGGTTAAAATTTTTTTGAGATTATTTAGAGAACATTTTATTGTATTGCGCTATTGATAATTGAGTTTAATGTATCCTCTAATTTTTTCTGTTAAATAAAAAATGTAAGGAGCATTTTTTTGAAAAATCAGTGGGTGTTTTGAAACGTATAATGTAATAATTTAAGGAATTGTTTAGAAGGTAAAAAATAATAAAAATTTATTTTTGGGATTATTATGAATATTGCATGTTTCAAACCACTGACAATAACAATAAAAGTAATTGGATAAACAAGAAAGACTATGGAAGTGATTTCGATGCCTGAAATCGATCCAATATAATTTACAATTCCTCGTACGTTATTTGGTAAAGTTATTGTTTAGTAGAATAAATATTTTGAAATTCGTGCTTTAATAAAAGATCACATGGCTTAAGTGATTTTAGAATCTGAATAATAGAGGGTACTTCGGGCACCCAAGGGCTCTAGAGTGCACAATGAGGTCTAAACAAAGCCCTGGATTAGCAGGTTCCGGTGAAGTCGTTTTCAAGAAAAGTAACTTAACTTCTTCACTCGTTAAATTTTTCACAGGTTCATTCTCCGGCACGTAGAAAGGTGCAAATTCTCACCGGGTGGTCATTTCAGAGTTTTTGACGCAGAGTAGTTTTACCAGTACCGATGGGGAAATATAATAAAGGCGGGTGGCTTTAAGGCAACAAAAACTGTACTTTGACTGGTTTTAATCGGTTTTTTAAAATTCTACAACACAACAAGCTGCCTGAAATAGTAATAATTATCTTTTGAACGAAAGACTCTGTCACGCACAAATCTTATTTACTCATCAGTTTTCATTGTCAGACTTGTTACTGTCCCGCTCCCGTTGCTGGGATAACTTTTCTCTCAATAGTCATCGAAAAAAAGAATCTGTTAGATTTGTGTTTTTCTTAAAATTAATCTTTTTTTTTTACTTTTTGTTTGGTTAACAGATTTTTTGAGAGTATTAAAACACCAGTGGCTTCCAGAACGAGCTCCGGGTTCCATATCAGTGATATTTTGGAGTTAAATGAAGCCAAACCGTCGGCACAAGACGACAATCATGGTAAGTCAAATCCTATTACTTTTTATTTTTCACTCAAAAGTCTTTCTATTCAAGCTTTCAAACGTTAAAATATTCCAAATTCTACTTTTTGTAGCACAGAATCAAATATATCTTTCTGAAAATAATTATAGTCCTTTTTTTTTAATGTAATTGGTTAATCTTCCATCTCAAAAATATATATTTAATAATCGATCAACATTTAAAAATTTTTTTGATCTTCCAATTTTTCAATAAAAATTCCCTTAAAAAATTTCTGAATTTAAGCGATAATTATTTCAAACAATAATGCAGAATTTATTTTTAATGATTTAAAAGATGTTTCTTAAAAATTAAGCTATAATTTCTTTTATGATAGCAATGATTAGACAAAAAATCGTGCGTGATTCATTTTTTGGACAATTTCAACCACTTTTTAGAGAAAAAATGGCTAATTTTCGAAATTCTAGTGATGGTCTTTTTGTATAATCATGTATTATTGACTTCTGAACAATATTAAGATCATTTTAATCATTTTTTCAGCCAAAAACTAGCTTATTTTTGTCATTATAACAATTGTTCTTTTCAATAACCATGTCTAATTAGTTTCTTAGCTAACTTTCATCCTTTTTTGAGTAAAAAATAATTAATTTTGAGAATTAAAGCAGCAATGCGTCTAAAAATTACATATTACTCATGTTCAAATAATGTTTAGAATATTTTATTAATTTTTTGAACAGAAAAACAATAAATTTTCAATATTTCTGGTATGATTTTTCTCAGCAATCATCTATAGTTTATAAAGTATTCTTCTGATCAATTTTTAATTAACTACAATCATATTTGAAGCTTAATTCGACGATGACATCGATAGATAATAGATTATAACATCATTTCCGAATATTTAATGATGACTGAAGTAAAAATTGTGAAATGATTAATTTTTTAGCGACAACAATTCTTCCAAACAATGATGTATCATTGGCCTACCAACAACTTTTGGAACACGCAGTCCAACATGGAAACCTGAGAAATTCGTTACCACCCCCGCCGCCACCTACAACGCTACCACCACCAGGACTTCTAGGATGGCCGACGGGACCAATCCTGCCGGTGTCAGTGCCCCAAACATTAGCCGAAATGACTGGTAAGCCTCAATAAAATATTTATCCAAGAGCATGAAATTTGATGAAATTGAAAAACTGAGGATCCTTGTATCAATACAGCTAAAAATCTTGATCTGAAGATCAGAAATGTATTGTTGTAAGTGTACTCTAGGATCGGACTTGACCCCAGGCCCGGGGGAGAAATGTATCAGTGGGGTATAACCTATTAAACGCGACAATGAGTACATATCCCTGAATATATTTGGTGTGGAGCATGTATTGTAGCTTTAGCATTCTCCTTTCTTCTCTCCTCAGGTTTTGGTTTTGTCACAACCCTTATTTATTTAACACCCTACAATTGGTTCGCGCCAGCTAAGCAGGATCTAATAGTCGTATAAAAGGTCCTTGGGTACCGGGGACGCGATTGGCCAACTTGGGGTGACAGATGTCACCGTGGGGACAGATGCAAGCGGTTGCAACTACATTTATATATACATATATTCTGGAGAGAGGAAAAAAAAGACCAACACAAATGAACGAAAATGATGGACCCCTCCCGTAACAACTCGATGAATCAAAATTGTCACGCCCAAAATTCACATTGTCGCGGTTACTGAATACTCGTGTTAGTTTCCACCGTTTATACTTGTGCTTGTACTTTCGCATCTATTTAACCAAAAAGTGCCCTAATAGACAGCCTGTTGTGGAAGAGGGCTTACTGTGCTTTCTTAGTGATGGATATATATTCCATACTATACCGTGCCCTTACCCTTACTTCACTTTTTTGATACCTCTCTTATTATGGAAACTTTTGGGTGTGACATCATCAATGATTCGATTATTCCGGAGCATCACAGCTAATTCCTCATCCTCAAGCTGAAAAAACTCTATCCATCAATGATTTGATGTAATCCTTATACTTATTTTGAATCTCATTAGAATCATATTGTGCTGAACATTTTTGGTTTTTTTTAATAATTTTTAACAATTATGAAAGTTTTATTGAATTATCGTCTATAAGCATGATAAAAAATGTATTAATAGTTAATAAAGCTTATTGAATATTGACAAATCTCATAGAATTCAGTCTGAAAATATTTTGAACTTTTTTACATCAATAAATTAAAGAAAAAAAAAAACTTTTTGAAAATTAAGCTAGTAGATTAATAATTCAACTTTTTGTTCAAAATTTTATTGAAATTTTGAACAGTTTTTCTTTAATTTGACGATCATTTATCAATTTCATCAGTAAATCCTCCGAAACTTGGTTAATTACTTTCCCAATCAAATAGAATTAAATGGTTATAAAATTAGCAGCTAAAGGTTCATCCATACAAAGTAGGACATGTAGTATCATCTTAATTGAAATCACAGAGGGCGAAAATCAAGAGCTAATCTCCCATGAAAATGATATGGTTGATCTCGTGTGGGGTGCCACACACTCACACTTATACAATCCACACATATTATATTCAACATGAGAATCGAATAGGGTTTGTATAGTTTTTCGCACCCTCTCCTTCAAGCCTCCACACAATAGCATATTGTACACTTATACACTCACCCCAGTGAAGTAGTAGACCAGACTAGAGACCAGAGACTACATCCTAGATATATCTCTACTCAAGCCTACCCTTTTTTATTGCACATAAATATAATATTTTCAATATATAGTTTGAGTTTTGGTTCTCTGCAACCGATAGCGTGTTCACAAGTACTTTGTTCAAACTTAACGTTCCCCACTTAGACATATTATTTTTTATAATATATGTAATGTAATTTTTTACTATAAATGATCATTAACTCTTCTTTAACAATAATATTTCTGTATCCACGGTGTTAAATTTTTTTGGTAGTTTAAAAGCCTAAATTCAATGGAGAAAAATCCCTTTATCTCAGTATGAGTTATTTTGCCTGTTTTTATAGATGATAAAATAATCAAAGTTTTGAAGGTTCAAATCATTTCATGAAAAACAATTTTTGAATTTCAATAAATGACCCAGTAAAAATTATTTTGGCTTACTCAAGCTCCAAAAGTGCTGCACTTATCACTCTTTTTTTATTGATGTAGAACGATAAACTTTAAAAATGATAAAAAAATATAAAATTAAAAATTAAATAAGCTCACCAAGAAAAACGTTTAAGCTTTGTAACATTTTATTTGAAATTTACTTTAAGTCTCAATACATATTGTACTCTCAATACATTATATTTTCAAAATGTAAAAAAAATTCTATTTTTTGACATTTTCAAAGGTATATTTCTCCTTTAAAACTTTAAAGATTTATGAAACGATTTTTAGCGTTTTTTTTTTAAAATAAAATTTTTTTAAATTCTATATTCTGAAAATTCAAAAAACTGTGTGTAATTTTGTCTTAGTTTTTTTTTTGTAACAATTTATATGGTATAAAAATTCCAAAAATTGCTTGCTCATTTTAGTTTCATTTCATTCCACTGAAGAGTAAGTCAAATAAAAAAAATTAATGAAAAACAAATGATATATTTTCCAAAATAAAAATAAAATTCGATTCTTTGAAACTTCTCCAGAGATTTTCCCTTTAATCATTTAAAATTGACTGTCTTCTATCCTTTTCTTACAGATCTCTAACCCCGAATTTTTTTCTTTATTTTGCAGTTCACCAACAGCAGCAACAACAGCAACAACAGCCCGACTCAACCAGTCCAACAATATCAGACCTATCATTTCCCTCGTCGCAGCAAGACAACGGGAACGACTCTTCCAAAGATGAAGAACAAGACTTCGAAGAAGCGGAAGAACCCGCTGATGACCACGATCACGATAACGACCACGACGACCACAATGACGACAAATCATCATCGCGAACCCACGACCTGAGTGACCACCACTCCGGTCATTGCGGAAAGAAACAAAGAAAGCGCAGGGTTCTGTTCTCAAAAGCCCAGACCTACGAACTGGAACGAAGATTTCGTCAACAGAGGTACCTTAGTGCTCCAGAACGGGAACATCTCGCTTCAATTATCCAGCTTACCCCGACCCAAGTGAAAATTTGGTTCCAGAACCATAGGTATAAAACGAAACGCGCCCAAAATGAACGCGTTGAAGCGGGTGCCAGTGGGTGCTCGCCCCGGCGAGTTGCGGTACCTGTTCTTGTGAGGGATGGAAAACCCTGTCAGTCAAAATTAGTCGAGTCGACGTATTCGGGAAGTGCCCAGGTAATGGCCTCCCCGTATATGCAAAAATCATTTTGGTGGTGAAATAATGTTGTTTTATAAATTATTTATTTTTATCGAGGATTCAATATTGGTGAATATATTTTATTTCCGGTGGTGCAAAATAATTAAAGATGTAGTTTTTGTAGCGAGATTTTGTTGTTAAATATTTAAATTATTTTATACTAAAGATTTTTTTTTCTTAACTCTTCTTTCAAGTGATCTCGGTACTTTTAACTTCATTACGTCCCTAGTAGATTTTTTTTCCGTAAGAATTTATTTAAAGAGTAGTCAAGTTATTTGGTAGGTTTTACACATAGTGTTTTGTTATGATTGGTAATAATTTGATTTTGTGTGGCAAAAGATTAACGCACATTTCTTTATAGCGCATTGCAAAATTTCTGAGGAAAAGAAAATTTAAAAGAGCGAGAAATAAAGTACAATCTTTAAATTTTTGAGCTGATTCTAAAAAGGTGAATTAAGATAATTCGCAATTTTGTCTTCAAAATTTTTTGAGGAAAAAATTTTTAATTTATTCAATATTGAGGAGAAAAATTTTAATTTCAATAGCTGTGTACTATTAGTAAAGATTTTTGTTATTTATATTTAAAAGTGCAATATATATTTATAGTTTCTTAATATGGTAAAGCGACACTTCAAATATCAAACTGAACAAATTAGTTTCGAATAAAAATTTCGAAAAAATTTAATTAAATTCTAATTATAAATTAGAAATTTAATAGATGTAATTTATATAAATAAATTTAACTGAAATTCTTATTCGAAATAAATAAAAATATTAGAACATTGTAAACTTTCCTTTATATTAATATTCAATATTTAATAATCTTGGAAGACTTTTTTGAAATTAAAAAAATTCAAATTTTATGTTAGGGCAAAAAATATACCTTATTAGAACCTTCAAGCTCAAATTTTACGACAAAAAAGCTATCTAAATATTTCTCAATAAAAAATTCAAAATATTTTTTTTTCACGAAAAAAATCCAAATTTTTTAAACCTCAAAAAAATCAGAATTAATTGTCTCTTTTTGAATCTTTCTTTTCTCGGATTTGATTGTCAATGCTCGAAACAATATCGACTGAACAAAATATTTAATGTTATATATTTTTGACTTAAAATTCTACACGATCATTTATTTTAAAAACTAAGCGCATAAATTTCGTTATAACATATTTGTATCGGTTGGAAAGAATGAGAATTTAAAAAAAACTAAAACTAAAAATATCAAAATAAAATTTTGACTAAAAAAATTAAAAATCTAACTAGGGTAACGTTGAAATATATATCAATCCTTTCCTACATTAAAATGTAGTGCTGTACAAAAAACGATAAAAAGAGTAAGAAAGTGATCGAAAAATAAAACCCAAGTGAATAAATATAAGTATAAAAAACTATTAAGATCAGAATGCAATTGTTGTGAATATGATTATAAAATAATAATTTAAAACACGAATTCAAATTTATAGTATTAACTTAAAATCTAATGTTTAAAAATTTATGTGTAATGTCCAACTACCTTTCACTACAATTGTTATTAATTTTATTAGGCTAAGTATTTATTGTAGCAGGTTGTATATATGTACATTGTGTATCATAGTGAAGAAAAATATATAATATATAACCGCAGAAGCGTGCATATAAATTCCGTATTTTATTATTTTCCTCCTTTCCACCAATAATAATAACAAGACAAAAGATAAATATAACCTAAATCCTAACTAAGGTTAAAAATTACATATGGGATGTGTAGAACGCAAAAGCTCATCTAATATTTTTTGCAGTGCTTCGTACCAGAAGAATGAGCCCAAGCCCAAGCTTCCTTTTTGCACGACACGACGGAAACAAGCAGTAGCTCGAGTGACACGTTTCCGGTTTCCGTTTCCGAGCGGCCATCTTGTTACCGGTTTAGATTTCCCGTTGTCTACCAAATCCCTTTTACGTTTCTCATGTCTAAAGTCGTACAATTGTCATTACTCATTTTTTTATTGTTCTTATTTTATTATCGATTTTTTTAAACGTCTAACTTGTAATATAATTAATCAATTCGGTTTATTTTTTATGCTAGAGTCATAAGTTATTTTTTTACTCAAGGGTTGGGCTTTCGATAACTCAATTCGAAGGGTAATCTGGGGATATATATCTATACATCTTATTGAGAGATGACACAGCAAAGTAAATGGAGTGGACAAAGTCCAGCATATGCTCTGATTTGGTAATATCATTGAGTGCTGTAAGATAAAAAAAATATATAAAAGTATTGTGTGTATGTATGGGGATTTTTTGTCAGATGTAGTAAAGATCAGTATGTGGTTATTATTATTATTACTACTACTATTATCACGTGTTTTATGCCCATGATATACGATACAGACTACAACGGGAAAATGAAAGAAGCAGAAAGCACTGTAGCAATGCACCGAGATTTCCAATTCGATGTGTTTAGAGCGGGGTCATGAAGCATGTGGAACACGTTACATGTTACAACTACGGTAAAATATAATCGTGCGAAATGTCTGGGCGACGGACCGGAAACTCTGATAACATTCAATGGATAACTTTGACCAGTATGATTTATATGTGACCCTTTCTAATCATAATCTTTGGAGTTGTCTTTTTGGGAGTATTTTATTTTTTTTTTTTTTTGTAAATTTTAGTGCATATAAATGTATCGGTAGTTTATATTTTTTATGGAGACAATCTAAACGAGGATTTGATCCTCGTAAATGTTTTTTAAGTAAAAGTTATTTATGTCTTGATTTTGTATAAAAATGAACCGTTTATCTTTATTAAATATTGATAAATTTCTAAGGAAAAGAAATATTTTGTTAAATTTTCTGACTTGATCATATATGTCCGAGTATGAAAATTTATCGTATCAAGCCTAATACACGGAAAAAAGAAAACTGGAAAAATTACAGTTTCAGATTGTAATTATTACAGATTTTATAAGTATTACATTGGAGAATGTAATATTTATATTGAAAGCTCTGAATACTTATTAAATTAAAAAATTGAATTTAGAAAAATGTTATTTCAAACTGTAATTTTTCTAGTTTTAATTACGACGGGGCCGATTTTACATTTTATACTGTAATTTTTCGAGTTTTCTTTTTTCCGTGTGGAATCATATATGGCCTGATATGTGCATATATAATTTTTGGTATGCTCACATATATCCTGATATGGCCATATATGACCTGATATGTTTTGATCTAAACGATTTTCATCTCAGGACATATCAGAACAAATATGGGCATACTAAAAAATTACATATGCACATATCAGGCCATATCAGAATATATTAAGTCAGATATGATTATATATGTTCCGATTTGGCCCATTTCCATATCAGGACATGTATGGCCACATGAAAAAATTATATCAGACCATATATAAACACAAGAAAATTTTTTCACGGAAATATATTGTTTTTCCTCACAAAATTTTTAGTTTTGTGAAGTATAAATTGATTTTTGATTAGTAAATAATGACTCAAATTTTTTAATTATTTTTGCTATAAAATGAATGATTTTTATACAAATAATTTTATTATTTTTTAATAATTATTCATTTTTTTAAGAATAATTAACATATTTCGTATATTTTATTACTTAATTTAATATTTATGCTGAAATTTAATGATTTTAATAGAGAAAAATAAATTGTTCTTGATATTTATAGTCTCAATGAATTAAATTTTAGCTTATTATGTCATAAATAAAATTTTAATTTATTATTATTAAGTTCAAAAATTAAAAATGGCTCAAAAAATCATTGAATTAATCCTAAGAAAATCTAATCAAGTCTGTTACCTCCCATGACCGTATGAAAATAATTTAAGAATACGTGGATGTTTATTTTTGACTAACTACAAAAGAGACCGAAGACTATATCCATGCATGTGCGTTATTGATATAATAAAGACCAATACAGCTCACATGAACAGCATGAATATGAGAGCAATAAATAAATGGAGTGTGCGTCATGGTTAAAAAAGGCAGAGGATGATCGATATCAATTAGGATGCTCTTTCCGGTCGCGTGACGCGCTATCACACCCCACGGTTTTGTAGGCCACGTGCCCTAAACTCTCGAGCGCTCAAAAACCTTTACTTCCGGTGGCTTCATACAGCCGATACACCTAGAGTATATACTGTCTGTATATAATGCAATAAGGACTTTTAACTTTCACTATCTTTATTATTCATCGCGGAGGTAAATAACCAGTCTAATTTTGTGCTCTAATGTACTATCGTGTATGTAGGTGCATTCGTACTTGTGTGTACTCGCGATAACTATAACAGAAACAGTAATAGATCCAACTGAGAAAAGACAAACCTAACACTTCGCACGACCCCTGGTGTCAAATTAAATCATGATAAGTATAGACAATGAATTTTGAATGTCATTTTTTTAAAGAATTTTATAATAATCACAGATAGAATCACTCATTTAGTTTAATTCCTTTTTCAATAAATAATCAAGTTAATTTAAATTTCAAATTTTTTGTTAATACTAAAATTGTTTTTAAATCAAATTTTTGTTTTAATTTTACTGAATTTTATCAAGTGGAGTGTAAAAAATTGTTAATTTAAATAATATGTAATTGAAAAAATTAGTAATAAGTTATAAAATTGTACTTAGTAGGTTAGTGGTTGGGTGAGTCTCCGGTAGATAGCGCATGCTCGCTAAATTTTCTCATTAGCAAAGAGTTTAATCTTAACTTATAAGCTAAACAATTTTCTTCAAACAATACTAGTTTTAAGCTTTACTTTTAAGGTCTAGATTTATTTAAGGGAAGCAAGAAATTAATGAGGTTTTTCACCAAGTTTTTACTCACAAATAAATTTAAGAACATAAAACAACAAAAACAAAAATTTTTAAATTATAACATTATAAATCAAAAGTGTAAAATTTTTTAGCTACAAAAATTGGAACACTCTGTAATTCTTATTAACTAACAAATTATACTTGTACTCTTGAAAAATGAATAAAGAAAATTTTTAAAAGGAACAAAATTTAAA